TAATGAAATAGTTGAGACCTATGATTTTTGCAATGGGTCAAACTTTATACTCAATGGAGTATGATGATGTGATATATTATGATTGATTTGTAAATATTTTGTACATGAACTTGCACTCTCTTGGTGCTTGTAGTTAATGATACTTTATATTTTTTATTTCAATAAAAGACAACCTAAATCTTGTAAATATATATTTTTTATTTCAAAAAAGGATATAAGCTCTATCGACGTTATGAATTCCATGTAAAGAAATTACCCAAGCAGCACACTGATTAAAATAAAAGTGAGAGAGAAAAAACATAAGAGAATTTAATGTGGTTTGGCATATATGTACTTAATGAAGCCACCTGCAAAATTTCTCACTGTCGAAGAGTTGAATCTTACATTTAAGTTTTTTATCTTTATGTAGAAAAGAATATTTTAAAACTGCCCTAGGCTCATCCTAGTGAACCGACAAACTGGCCCAGGCAAGACCATCATCTTCACTTGGGAGATTAGCACTTTGCCTAACCTTATTCCTATATCTGGGCCTCCTTTTTGCAGGCAGTAATCTCTCTAAATATGAGCCACAATTCAACCAACTACTAATTAACCAGTCCACTTTTATCAGCCTTCTGAAAAAAAAAAGTGGTTCTGCATTTTTTCTCAGTTTCATATTTAACTCCTTGGTCTAAATTTCTATGTAACAGGGCTACATTCTAGATAGTGCATTTGATCCTCGTCGTTGGATTGCTCCAGGCCAACGATCTTTACAGCCTGTTCCATGTAAATGTGGTGTTGATACTTTGGATGTACCTTGGGATCCCAAACTTCAGACTGAAGACCCAAAAGTTGTTGTTGGAAAATGTTGTGACATGGGTCACAGATGGATGATTTCAAAAACGGTATCTGATTGCGTTGAAGCTCTGATAGGAGCATATTATGTTAGTGGTGGATTGGTTGCTGCATTACATGTGATGAAGTGGCTTGGGGTTGATGCTGATCTTGAGCCTTCCTTAATTGTTGAGGCCATTAATAGTGCATCTCTACGATCCTATCTCCTCAGGAGTAATGAGCTTGATGGTTTGGAGTCAAAGCTCGGCTATAGGTTTTCTGTCAAGTTTCTCTTACAGGAAGCAATTACACATACAACGGCTCAAGAGTCATACTGCTACCAGGTAGTAATGGAAATTCTGCTTTTTTTTTTGGTTTCGCTGTGTACATGGTTTTCAAGTTTGCTTGTTAAGATTCTCCTAGAATACAAAAAAGGAAGAGCAATCAAAAAGAAAAATGAGATGTTCTTTCAATGTTTCATTTGTATGTTTATATGGATGTGAGTTCACTTGATCTCCATCTTCTAATAGTTGAACTTCTTCCAGAGACTTGAATTTCTTGGTGACTCAGCATTGGACCTGCTTATTACTGGGCATCTCTATCAGACCCATATAGATATTGATCCTGGAGATTTGACTGATTTGCGCTCAGCATCTGTTAGTAATGAAAATTTTGCCCAAATCGCCGTCAGGAAGAACCTCTATAAGCATCTTCAACATAAGTCTGCATTACTCGCTCGTCAAATAACAGAGTATGTGAAGTCCTTTATTGAAAATGAAGATACCACTGGATCAAGGCCAGATGTAATGGGTCCTAAGGTTAGTTTTTAATATCGGGTATTTGCTTGATCTTGTTCAAGATTTCTAGGGTGCTTTGATAAGGTTCAAGTTAGACAAATTACCTATAATCCACTAAGCTTTATTAACATTCACAATTAGTTAAAAGAAATTTTTTGAAAATCCACTAAGGATATCTTGAGACTTTGGAATCTTCCAAGATAATAATTATTTATTCGAGAATAACAT